GGCGTCTTTTTGTTGTTGTGGCCGTTCAAAACCATTGAGGTGATTAAGTAGAGGAACTGAAAAAGTTACAAAAATGATGATGATGAAGATTGTGATAAGGAAATGCTACTATCAAAAAACCACACCTACAACTAGAAATAATTAATAATTATTATTATATTAATAATTAATAATAATATTAATAATAATTAATAATAAATTAATAATAATAATAATTTCTAACAATGCAGGCTGGATCACTATTGGACAATAGATAGTGCATGAATACGCTTAAGTATTGGGGCTGCTTAATTAGGTTTAGCAAATTGTCGAATGGATCCTCCGTAATGTAGGTCTTCTGTTAATGAATAAATTAATAAATTAGCATAATTAGCGTTGGTATTATGATTAGCGTTGGTAATTGTAATAAAGTGAAAGAATGAGTGAAATAGTTACATCGCCATCTTCATCAGTGATGAAATCATAGTCGTCGAGTGCTAGTATATGTGGATTGTGTTGTTGTTGCTGCTGCTGCTGTCGCCGCTGCTCCTGCTGCTGCTGATGTTGTTGTTGTTGCTGCTTGAGGTATTGTTGTTGTTGCTGCAGATACTCTTGCTGTTGCATGAATTCCTGTTCTTGTTGCTCGCGTCGTTGTAGAAGAGATTTATGTTGACGTTCTTGTTGAGGCTGTTGTTGTTGATGTGGTTGCTGTTGTTGTTGATGTTGTTGTTGCTGTTGTTGGTGATGACGATTGCTGTCTATGGCGTTGTTGTACTTACAAAAATCTTCAATGTCGTCATCATCATCGTCGTCGTCGTCATCATCATTATTATCATCATCATCATCATCAGATTGAAAATTTTGTTGTTGTTGATATTGTTGTCTTGGTTGTTGGCTAAACGAATTTTCATTTCTTTGCAGTTGTGGTTGATGATGATGTTGTTGTCGCTGTTGTAGTTGCTGCTGTCGCTGCTGCTCCATAAGAAACTGTTGGTACTGTTGTCGCTGCTGTCGTCGCCGTTTAAGCTGCTGCTCTCCTAGCATCGTCATGAGCAATGTTGAAGTGTAAACGATCGATTCGTCCCTCCTTCTCTCACTCATTGATAAACAGCTCATGTCATTTATCTGGTGGTAGTGATGATGATGACTATGATGATGATGATGACTATGATGATGACGATGATCATTAGAGTGATGACGATGATGATGATTACTAGAGTGATGACGATGATGATGATTACTAGAGTGGTGACGATGATGATGATTATTAGAGTGGTGATGATGATGATGACGATCGCACATCAATATTAATGAAACATAAACAAACAAAGACAGATAAGCTAACCAGATTTTCGTCATGGCAATCAGCGCCGTAAGTACTACCACCATAATTATTACCATTACCATTGTTGCTATTAATAGTACTGTTACTATTAATAGCACTGTTACTATAAATAGCACCGTTACTATAAATAGCACAGTTTCTATTAACAGTAAAATCGGGAATTCCGGCGATGAGCCTGCATAGTTTCTGCTTCTTTTTGGCCTCCAACTCCACTGCTGTCGGCATTTTTTTCTTCTGGGCTGGTCCGGAGAAGTTGAAAGAACTTTCTACGGTGGAACGCATGACGTCACTGCATTTGACTATCGGCGACGGTATTGGGGATGACGGAAAGGACTCCTGAACAAGAAAAATAATAATAATTCATTATTATTTATATTATTAGTATTAAAAATAGTAGCAGCAGTAGTAGTAGCAGCGGTACTGGTAGTAGAAGTAACAGTGGTAGTAGTAGCAACAGCAGTAGTAGTAGAAGCAGCAGCAGTATAATATATATATCTAGATTCGATCTTTAAGACTTTGTAGTTGAAATGTGGTGAAAGGTCTTCTTCACTGCTTTCAAACTTGAATGACGGCTAGGTTGAAAGGTTTTGCGTGTATTTTGACCAACAAAACTCAATCTGACACCTTCTAAATTTTTAAACATTTCTTTGTTCAATAGTTCACCCCCACCTCGTTCGAGTGAATCATCTCCAGAGTAGATAAATTTGCCTTCTTCAAAGGTAATGACACCTGACTTCTTCCACGGAGTTTCGCTCAAGCCTAGAATGCAAAGATTCATTCTCTTTATTTCTTGTTTTACGATTTCAAATTTTCCAGCCCGGTAGTACAACGTCCTAAAGATCCATGTTGACACAGTAAAAGGTGTATTCAACTGGTCACTATCGTGTTTTTTGATTCGGTTTGTTGGTGGTTTTCTTGGAAAAAAATTTGCGGACAGTAGTAGGTTTCCACAACTTGCTGTCCTCACATCTTCACCGTCATTGTGATATATATACATAAACAAGCCTTTTCTTTAAACAAGTTCATTTCATGAGTCATGAAAATAGATTCTTAATTCCTCTACCAGTAATTACGAATTAAAAGTTGGGATTAGTTATAAATAAATTATGAAAGAGTATGAACCTGTAGGTGTTGAATTTCTTGGAATATTTGCTTCTGCAGTCTCCTGACCAACCT